TGGGAGAGGAAGAAGTAGGCTTCCCGCTGAGCAGGGAGCCCGACCCGGCGCTCGATCCCAGGACCCTGGGATCATGACCTGAGCCGAAGGCAGACACTTAACCGATCAAGCCACCCAGGTGCCCCTACTTCCTCCTTTAAAAGTTCATATTTTAGTGTTCTCTCAAGATCTTCCCTCCCCCAGAGATGCTGCCCTCCTCCTCCAAGGTTCTACACTTGACTGCTAATGCAGATGTTGAATAGGAAAAAATGGGTATTGGGCATCTTCCCACCTCCACGTTTGACCTAACTGTAAACTAAGGATTTTGGCCTATAAAAATATGGGTTGGTTCACAACAGTGGCGCAAAGTCCTGTTAACAGTGTAAGAGCAACATTTCCCCCTTTCTCTTCTACTCTCCAAAGAAAGCTCAAGCAGTTGTCAAGATATGCACATCTGACGTATGTAGGATAGCAATTAACTACCAGGGCTTTGACTTTTTTAGGACACTTCTCTGATGATGGAACCCCATAACTCTACTCCCCGCAATTACTACTCCCCACCCCGTCTTGGGAGGCTGCACCATTGTTAGCTCACAACCATGGACGATAGACACAGGGTTTTTAGCATAATTCTCTGGATCCAGATGCACTGCTCGTTCCTACTACGGACAGCCTGTATGCCCTCACTATGCCGAGGTATGAAGAGAGGGGCTGGGGCCAGCCTGAGGGATGAGACTCCTGTCGGAGCTTTGCTCTTCCTCCCAGTCCCTTTCAAAGGCACGTCAGCATCTAATAGAGTGTCCTCAGGTCCACAGCACACAGCACTCAGTCTAAGTACTGCCAATGTTTTTTTTCCAAGTGAAACAAGAAATCTGGCCCAGGGTGCACGGGACGGGTTATCTTGGCTTAGGTAGAAACTGCCTATCTCTTTGCACAGGTGCCCAGAGGAGTTAAAACATAGGGAAGGAAAGGCTGGTACCTTGTTTCTCAGGGCTGGGTCCGCCCCTGCTTCCAGGAGCAGCGCGACTGTTTTAGTATTCCCACTGAGTACTGCCGCGTGGAGGGCCGATGTCCCATTCTAAGAGAAAACGACAGTGTGTGTCAGGAGTGGGCTCACAGCCATCAGCACCGAGCCTGGCTTTCATCATAAACCAGCCTGAGTGAGGAGACCCAGGTTGGAGCTTTGCTCTTCCTCACAGTCCCTTTCCAAGGCACATCGGCATCTAATAGTGTCCTCAGGTCCACAGCATATGGTCAGTACACATACTGCCAACGTCCTTTGGCAAGTGAAGCCAGAAATCTGGCCCGGGGTGCACGTGACTTCAGGATCAGTCCATCAGTTTTAAATATATTAGAATTTGGGGCGCCTGGGTGGCTCGGTTGGTTGAGCGACTGCCTTCGGCTCAGGTCATGATCCTGGAGTCCCGGGATCGGGTCCCACATCGGGCTCCCTGCTCGGCAGGGAGTCTGATGCTCCCTCTGACCCTCCCCCATCTCATGCTCTCTCTCTCTCTCTCATTCTCTCTGTCTCAAATAAATAAATTTAAAAAAATCTTAAAAAAAAAAATTCTTAAATATATTAGAATTTGCTGCAGCAAAAGCAGTAATGCTATGTCAAACATTTTGCCTTTTTCTTCAAGGACAACATATATAGTTTTCATGCTTCCAGCGAGGCTGGAGAAATGGCTGGCAAGCCAACAGGCCGACCTGTCAGCCCAGCTACCTGCACTCCACTCACTCAGGTGGGTGGGAGCACCACTGTGGGGTTACAGAGCATGAGCGTGTGGGGTAAGGAAACCCCCAAGCCCTGAGATGGAGAATTTTTGAGCATAGAAGGGTCCGGTGGGTGGGTTGCTGACATTTTATGAAATGTACTGCAAATATTTATTGAACTAAGGAAGCATCTATGTGCAGCACGTAGCCAGATTCTGGGAGGGGAGAGGAAGAGAATGTAACAAGCCTGATATAAGAATGATGGGCAGTCACATGACAACTGTTCTGTAGACATGCATATGTCTACAAAAGCATCTAAATGCAAGCTTATTTTCCACATTAGCTACTTATAATAATAATAATAAGCTACTTTATTTTATAAAAGACTAAAATACAATGCCCATAAAAAAATTCCAGCAAAGTAGCATTTTCCTTTCCAAAGCAGCATGTTTGCTTTTTAACATGTATGACAACTCACTTGTCTGGTAACATTTCACCCATCTAAATTTTCACCAACTTGTCAACTTCATCTATTTGCAACATGGCTAAGAATAAAATACCAAGCCGAAAAAGAGCTCTTTGAAACGAGATAGGTATTACAAAGTCCATTTCTGAAGCTCATTTCTTTTATTCATAGAGAGTTCCCTTTCATAGACCATTTATTCTTACTTTACATACAGTGTTAATGAATGTAGGTTTCCCGCTTCCAAGCTCATGGAAGATTAGAAGTCGCTCACTGGGACAGAGAGAGGGGCCAGCATTCTGACAACAGCAGTCCTGTATCAGCTGATCACGAGACTAGAGCCTAAATATATAAAGATCCGATACAGAGTGTCCAAAAAGCCTCTGGGATCATTCAAGGACAGGTTGACTTTTTATACATCAATAAAGCCCAAGGAAACATCCCCCAAAATGCTAAGCCACTGTTCCAAGTTTAGAACAGATTTCCTGTCCTCAATTTAAGAAAACAATAGTGTAAACTAGGGGTCCGCAAACTACAGCCTGTGGGCCAAATCGAGCCTGCCGCCTGTTTTTCTACGTCCTAACAAGCTAAGATTTAAAAAAATAAATAAATAAAAGAATACTACATGAAAATATGAAATTCCAGAAATCCAATGTCCATAAATAGTGTGTTAGTGGAATGCAGCCATCCTTTGCCCCCATGGCTGCTTTCATGCTACAACAGTAGAGTCGAACAGTTCCAACAGAGACTCTATGGCCCATGAAGCCTAAAATATTTACTCCCTGGCCCTTTATTGAAAAAGATTGCCAACCCCTGGTATACACTGTAACTGAGAAATATCTTAGTCTGAAAGGGTTAAAATTTAAAAAAGGGTTTTGGGGCTCTGTTTCCTGGCAGACCCAGCTCTCCAGAATGACACATTCTTTGAGGTGTCCAGATACGTGAGGCTTATTTTCTTTCACCTAAGATAACAATGTGGTTCTTTGCTGCAGATAACGAAGGGAAGAAACATGAGCACCTGTCCCCCATGTTTCCTGGGACACAAATCATGTGTTTCATGAGTGGTGGAAGATTTTAGTCCAATGATATATATATCAAAATAGTTTACTTTCCAAGGTAGTGATTTAATTACTACTAATTTTTTTTTTTTTCTGGGAAACTAAGTAGCAACAGACTCTGGTTCACTCTTCTTACCACCCTGCCATTTCAACCAGTGCTAATGAATCTCCAACATTAAGAAGCTGTAGGTAAGTTCTTTCAAGAATGCAACTAACCATGTGAATTATACTCAGCTTCTGCAGTGCTCAGGTATGCGCTTCTTAATTTTTAGCCTCTCTTTTACAGATTGGTAAAATTTCTCTTTAAGTCTTACCTTCAAAATACCAAGGGTGGGTGAGAATTTCAGCAACTCTTCTATAACATCGTTATAGCCTTTGTTGGCTGCTTTGAGTAATGCTGTTGTACCATCCTTAACAGAGAGGAAAAGAAAAGTTGCCTATTAATGTGTGTTGGCTAAGAACTAAATGTTAGTTGAGAACCGGGAATATGCTTGTCAGAACAGGTGAAAGGAGTAAACCAAAGTATGAGTGGGCCATGTCTCTTAATCTAGGAGCATTTTAGAGCATATTCAGTTCTGCCTGAAAGAATGCTAGACGAAATATGTGACTTATTATCTTAGAACCCTGCCATTTGGGAATTCAGACTCTTCCAGTCCCTTAGGACACTGGGTAAGGGGCGAGGGGAATATCAAGAGTATATTTTAAGACACAGATGGACCAAAGAGGTATTGTCTGCAGTTCGTGACTTAGTGGAAATTAATGTTAAACTATTTTTAATGACTTAAATAATTACCGAACTGTATTTACTGTTTTACATTTTGAATCTGCTTTTCTTTTTGCTTTGTCTTATACACAACCTTGCTCTACTGTGCCCTAGGTATCTGTCTGTGGGGGTTGGGGGTGGGTAGGTGGTGAGTAGGAAAGGGATAGATTGAAATCTGTTAAAAAAAAAATGCAAAAATTTATATTCAGCTTCTGTCATCACTTTTTGGCCTGGGAAGAGATTTTCCAAATTCCGTTTTTTCCCCCTGTTTTTACATATCAATTGCTGTATTTGGAGGATTCAGCTCACAGAATTCTGTAGTAAAGGAAATATCCCAGCCTGCTCTAAACGTTTAGCTGGAATCAGGAAGAAAGAAAATGAGATTAGAGGGTTTTTCTTTTCTGGTTTCAGAGATGTGGGAAGAAGAGATAGAGTGGGAGAGAGGACAGTGAAGTAGGCAGGAATGTGTCTTTACCCCTTTCTGGGCTCAGACATGAAGAAGGGAGGTGGGTCACATACGCAAGGGTAATACTTACAGACACTGTAAGAACCAAACCAAACCCAAAAAGCAGATGGCATAGTGTGGTCAGGCAGCAGGGTCTCCCCAAGCTGCCCTTAGTTTCTACGGGCTACAGGGCCTGCTGTGGGGCCCATCGAGGCAGACTTAGGTGACATTAGCATTATTAGGTGGAGGCCAATGGCGGATGTGGTGCAGGGGTCTGCAGCTGGGGAAGCCGGATGAGGTGGAGCCCCAGGAGCACTGCTGGACCCCAAAACACAGAGGTTGCGCCCCGACCTGCACTGCGGTCCAGGGCCAGCAGGAGGCGCAGCTCAGGCGTACGCGCAGCCGCTAGGGACAACCCCAAGGACAGCCCGAGGCCCGGGCTCCTACCTCCCGCATCCTCCCGGTTTCATCCAGGAGTCAGCTCAGGTGGAGGAGGATCTCCGAGGATGAAACATCTTTCCCTTAGGGAGACTGGGTAGCACTTGCTAAGTTTCAGCTGACTCGGACATTTACTTTGTTTTCCTGCTGAAGAGCCGGTGGACGTTGGGAGAAAACCCAGGGGAGATACAGATCAAATAAAGGCGCGTTTTCTCCGCACGTCAGGGTTGAATTTTGGAGCTCCGTCGGTACATGCACTACCCGCGCCCTACAACCCCGCCCCAGCCCCCACGTGCTGCAGCTGAGGCTCAGACTCACGTTGCGGGCAGCGTCCCGGTCGGCTCCGCGCAGCAGCATCACCCTCACCACCTCGCTGTGGCCCATCTGCGACGCGATCCACAGCGGCGCCGTCCCGTCCTGCCGGCGAGGGGACACGCTTGCTCCCACCGGGCCACCCAGCAGCCGCCGAGCAGCAAGGTAGCACCCACAAACAACCTCCCGACGACACATGAGGACGGAGATTTTAACGCATTTACACAGACGGGCATTTGGTAGTGCCTGGAACACCTGCGTGATTGCCAATATTCGGGTTTGGGCTTATAACAGCCATTTTATGGCAGGATCTTTGGGCTCATAGTATGGTGCGGGACTTCAGGGAACACGGAGTGGGAAAGCGGTTGAGTTGCTCACCAAGGCAGAACCAGATTTGACAAACCCAGCGAGGAGAGGCCAGCATGTGTTTATTTCCCCCAGATTCTGTCAGTTTGTTTGCTTTACTGGTGGGTTCACACAACACACTCTGCTTAGTGTGGGCCCTCGTTCCCACAGGAGAGAGGGCAGTTTTCTTGGAGATGTGTGAGGGTCACGGAACTAAAGACATTTCTCCCACTCTTCTATTCTGGTGTCTAGAATTCCCCACAGCCAGTCATTTTCAGGGACTTTAGTTTTATGCAGGATGTGATACGATTTCTTCTGGGAGGGGATGCACACTAGCGAGTTATAGCAGGGTGACATTTATTGGTAATATTTCCTGAGTATTGTGCCCCCAAAGCGCCTGTTCTGTGAGCATGAGGCCATGAAGCAGAGAGGTGTTGCTCCAGAGAAGAAAAGGTGAAACATCCAAGGGAGGGAGAAGGATTTAATAGGAGGGTGGCTCCTGCCAGACAGAAAGGAAAACAGAAAACCCTTCTAGTGCTGGAAGGAAGCTCTAGAGAGGGCGTGAGGGAGATGGAGGTCAGACGTGTGCGTCTGCGTTTTCCTCCTGGCTTGAATCTGGGTTAGGTAAGCAACCAGGTAAATTATGGTGAATTCCAGATGGAAAAGGATTTTCTCCTGTTCTTGGGATGAAACCCAGGAAAACTGCAAGCCTCTTAGAGAAGCTCTGCTCCTGGCTGGTGCCTGAGAGAGAGAACAGAAATGGGTGAAGGAGTCTGGGCCAATGGGCCCGAGACATCCCCCAGTACCCCTGGTCCTCATCAATGAGACATCTGTGCACCCAGGAGAAACTGGAAGTGCTGGGTAAACAGTGGCCTGGAGTCAGCCTGGGGATGGGAAGATAAGGCCATAGAAGATCATGATTTCACATGACAGGCCAACAAGATACCAGTGCAGGATGCTCACAGACAGGAAAGGCTGGACAAACCAGCCCAAGGACCAGACATGAGTGTCCCCACCTCATCTTAATGCCTGGGTGGTAGTCTGACCTCTGAGGACTTAGGCCACTTTGGAGGGAAGGGCAAGGAGGAGGGCGGAGGAACCATAACTCACTAAACTTGGGCTCTGAGGTAATGAAGGTAATATGGCCCCCTGGGACTGTTTTGGTCAGATAAGACTGAATTACTCATCAGTGGGAATGGTGGCTGAAGAGCAGGATGATTCATTAGAGAACATAAAGTTTCATTTTCTGCTGTAGTATATAATTTCAACTCCAGTCTACTAGCCACAGCAGACACAGGATTCTTGCCCATTGCTGTCCTGGCAAAGGGAAAGAGGACAAAGAGGCCTGAGTGGGGTGGTGGAGGATGGCAAATCAGGAGCCTAGAAGGATCCAGGGGTGCTGAGGGATGGTAGGAGGACACTGGCACCCCTGTGTCTTGGGAGAGATGGGGAAGAGGTGCTGAATGAAACAGGGTGGAAGAAGGACAAACACCTGGAGCCACTTCACGCTTTTACAAGGGCTTTGTATCTGGTTATTTATTATTAGCAATAGAAATAATACCTTACTTTGTACTTTCATTTACAAAGCATGTCTACATTCATTACTTAATTTGATTCTCCCAATTTAGAATCATTCATTCCTTCATTCATTCAACCAACCAACAATTACTAAGTATCTTCTAAGTCTCCGGCAGAATACTAAGGAATGGTATGGTCTCTGGTCTCAAAGGAACTCAGTCTAGTGGAGAAGAGACATGGACATTTCAGGATGACTACAGTGCTATAATAAAGTATGGACAAAAGTGCCCAAGATGAGCCAGGAGAGGGGCCTGCTTACTGTGTGGGGGTTATGGCAGTCAGTTGGGGTGATATCTGAGCTGGGCCTTAAAGGAGGACTAGAATTTTGCTAGGTGGGGGGTGGGGGAGGACATTCCATGCAGAAGGAAGAGCATTTGCAGTCGCAGCGGCTTGGACAGATGTGGTTGGTTCAGGCAGGGTGGGAAATCCAGCAGATTGCGGCCCAAGGGGTGTGCGCTGGAACAGGGGCAGGGCGGGGCGGAGGCAGGGTGCTGGAAGCTCTTCTCCCTCCTTGCCTGCTCTGGGCTCACTTGTTCTTTGTCACTATCTCCACTAGAGGGCAGGCAAGGAAAGGCAGCTGGCCGCAAAGAGGCCAGCCAGTGGTTTGTTCAGTGTGCCTTCCAAGGGCTTGCTTGTTAGTAAAATGATCTTAATTGATACTAACATGTGGAAAAGTGTTGAGAGGTGGTATATTGGGAACAAATATTAATAGCATCAATTCATAACAGTAATGCCAACATTGAACTTTTATCACTTTAACTGCAATAGTCATGGTAGGTGGAAAAAGAAGCTGCCATTTTCGGGTTATGAGACCTTAGGCAAATCACCCTGAGCCTCTGTTCTCTTCTGCAAAAATGTTAGCCCCCCAGAGATACTCATGGAAACATGTAGGAAGGTGCTGAGCACAGGACTGGTGAGCGCGTGCTTAGAAAATACAGTCACTGAATCTGCGTATTTATCATGAAAAACAATAAGCACCTTAATTTGTACTTTTGTTTAGAAAACACTCCACATGCTTTATTTGATTTTCCTAATTTTCCTGTGAGATAACTGATTGAACAGGTGGGAATGATTGGTAAAATGACATTTGTGGTTAAATCCAGGAACTTGAATGTGAGTTGGAGCGTTACTGTCAAATCAAAGTACTTATTATTTGATTATCTGGTTTGTGGAGAGAAGTTTTTCCCTTCTTCTGTACACCTCAGTTCCTGTTTTCTCTTGTTTTTTCCTATGAAAATGATAGAAATTAAGTCAACTTGGCTCCTTTTTGTTGAGTTTTGAGAGAATTGGAGTAGGAAAAACATTTAAAAATTTATGCTTTTGAATACGTCCTGACAAAAATATATAGTTTTAAAATACGTTAAAACAAATAAATCACAGTGAAATAAATTACAGGAAGTTAGGACCTCTCTGGTACCTTTTTAAGAAAAGGAAATAGGACACTTAGCTTGAAGAACATGAGATTCACAGGGTTATGACCGCTGTCATTTACTATTTGTGTGCAAACCAAGCAGAAAAGGATTTAGACCGATTTCGCATACCAAGTGGCACAAAGAGGGCTGATGGGTAAAAGCTATGCAAGACTTTGGCTCAGTGTAAGACAGAGGTGGTGATGAGGGCTGGTTAAAGACTCAATAGTAGTAATGAGTCCCCCACGCCTGGAGGGGTTCAGCAGTGGCTGATTACCACTCAGCAGGATTGTTAGAGGATTTATGTATCTGATAGATGGTTACACAGGTGACTTGTACAGTTCCTTCTGACTGGGTTATATCCCCTCCTTCCATCTGAGATAATATTTTCAAGTATGCTCTAATACATTTTTATAGATAGATCATATCATGAGACGGAGCTTATGACATGATTTGTATTAGAAACTAAATGTTGGATCATTTTAGTTAGGGTCCTAAAGATTATTTAGAAAAAGTATTAAAACCATTTTGTTCCATGGGAATGAATATATTTAGTGGCACTAGTTCTTTGTTTCTGCTGCTTCTAGTCCTATATGAAACACATATATAGAACTGTTGAATCACTATATTATATACCTGAAACTAATATAACACTGTATGTTAACCATACTGGAATTAAAGTAATAATAACAGAACCCCCCAAAGAACCCCTGGAGTTCAGGGAGTGTAAGTGACTTGCTCAAGGTCATGCACTTAATAAGCAAAATGGACTGTGTTTCATTTCCTTAAGTTATCCATATCCCCATAACTCACAAGCTGCTCCCCACCCAGAGACGTGGCTGTGGTTCCCCAGCTGGCTCTTATAGTCTTCCTGGGACTGGTGTCCTGGCCATGAGTCCAGGCCCTGCATCTGAGCCTTGTTCTAGTTTGCAGCCACCGATCACTATGTCTTTGGCCTTCTAGGCCTCACTGGAGCTCTGCTCAAACCATGGGGTATCTTCTGGAGTCAATATACCTTTTCAGAGGTCCTACCATGTGCAGAGGGCATGCAAGCAATGGGGCCTCCCTGTTGCTGTCTGCTTCCACCCCAAGCCCTCAGGACACTGCATCAATCAGTTAGCCCTACTTTCTCCCATTGCCCACCACTGGGTCTGCCCCTCCAAGCTTGCAACCTGGGACGACCAGCACTATCCGGACCCCAGCATCTCTGCATACAGTGCAAACCAAGGCTAAAGAAGACATTTTATGACATGCCCTTTCTGTCAGGCTTCAAAGAGAGCCTGATTAGCACACTGAGAGGACAAGTTAGAGATGAGTGATGACAGGCCAGACTCAGCCCTGGGTAAACACTCAGACCTCTGCCACTCTATGAAAGTACTGTTTAATAAGGTGGATGAATTGCGTTGGGAAAAGCATATATCAAAGAATTTTGTTGATAGAAAAACAAACTAGCCATCTTAGCTCGTGATTAAAAAGGCTTGACGTGTGTATCAACTCTACATGCTGCAGTCACATAGAAAGAACTGAAGATGAGTTTTTAGCTTGACTATAGAGTACAATGATCTCAGTGACTCTTGACCTCTTTAGGATGAACGAGGAGGAAATATTTTTCAAGTTTCAAATCAAGAGCTTAGTCTTTCCAAAGTCTGCCTATGGATTTGAGATTCTGATTCCTTCTCACAAAAGCCCTAGAGAGGTTTTCAGTTAGTTCATCCATGATAGTTACAAGGAAGACCATTCCTACTACTGTTCAGATTCCCTGCAGCTCAGATC